CAGATGGTGAGAGCAGCCACAAAATTAAATGATGCATCCTTCTCGGGAGGAAAGCGATGACAAACCTCGACAGCATGTTAAAAAGCAGAGATATCACCTTGCTGACAAAGGTACAGATAGTCAAAGCAATGGTTTTTCCAGTAGTGATGTATGGAAGTGAGAGCTGGAGCATAAAGAAGGCTGACCACCAAAGAATTGATGCTTTTGAATTGTGGTGCTGGAGGAGGCTCTTGAGAGTCCCCTGGACTGCAAGGAGAACAAACCTATCCATTCTGAAAAAATCAACCCTGTGTGCTCACTGGAAGGACAGATCCTGGAGCTGAGGCGCCAATGCTTTGGTCATCTCATGAGAAGAGAAGACTCCCTGGAGAGGACCCTGATGTTGGGAAAGTGTGAAGGCAAGAGGAAAAGGGGATGACAGAGGACGAGATAGATGGACAGTGCCATTGAAGCTACCAACATGAATTTGACAAAACTCCAGGAGGCAGTGGAAGACAGGAGGGCCTGGCGTGCTCTGGTCCATGGGGTCATGACGAATTGGACACAACTTAACAACTAAACAACAACAACAAATTATGACCTTCATAGACACATACTTCTGCACAGTGTTCCTCCAAAATTCATTGAACAGCTACTGCTTCCATTTTTCTTTCTCCGCAAGAGAGAAATCTACCTTGAGCAGGCAGCACTATAAGTACTAGTCTTAGCTCTTAGTAGCTTATAAATCGTAAAATTAAAAAAACCCTCTGTGATTTAAAAAAACCTATGTGTTTAAAGAAATCAGCATAATAAAGAAACAGAACAAAATAATAACTACCTTATCTCAGGCTTTGTCTTCTGTTACAAAACATAACAGCTGCAGTGCTTCCTGGAAGTAGTTGACTAGCTTTGCTTTAGGCCCTAAAACAGCTCCTCCCAAAGAATCACCACTCCCCAAAACATTTGACCATGAAGGTGACTGGCAAAGGCTCCTTCCTGTACCACACCTCCATAGTCCCTGCTGGCCGCTGCCGTCCCCTCGGTACAGTAATCCTCACAGGAGGCATGGCCAACTTCTCCTAAGACCTGGCTGGCCTCTCCCATGTAGTGGGGGATGCAGCAGGGAGGAACTGGAGCCTGTGCTTCCGCATACGCGGATACAAGCTGACCATGCGGTCTCTGCAATGGGGCCACTTCCCCATGCGGCTTTCTTGGGTGGTGGTAGGCTCAAGGCTGGTTTTCAAGCCCCCGTGCCTCTTGGTACTTGGGTTTCTCCTGATTGGACTGGATGTGGCAACTCAACCCAGCCACCAGTCTCGACATTACAGTGGCATATTCTCTTTTTCTGGCAGCAACACTACCTCCTGGACCTTCCAGTCATCCCACTCCATGACATCCACCCACCAGTCCCCAGCTTCGCTCTACTCCTTAAATCTCAGTCCCGCCGCCATGGCTAGCCCATGGCCTTCAGTGCACTGTCTGCTTTTCCTTGGCCAATGCCCCAGACCACAGGTGAACTGACCCTTGCTCTCTGAGAGGTAGAGAGCCCACTCTTCAAGCCAAAAGGGTCCTTGCCACTGCCACCAAGTTACAATCCAAAATGAAAAGAAAAGAAAATAAGAATGACACATCCCAATGGCCCACTTTTTTCTTACTTCAGAAAGACTGCTACTTCTTACTAGATTGAAAAGAATCTTAATACACACAATAAATCAAGAACAATCGGGTTTCCTTCCAAAAAGGCAAATGAAAAATAATATAAGGATAGTCTTAAATCATTTGGAATATATGAAGCTCACCCGGATAAGCAAATGGCTATGATATTCTTGGATGCAGAGAAAGCTTTTGATAATATGAATTGGAATTTTATGCTACACTAATTGGAAGTGCTACAAGTTGGAGGAAGATTTTTGAAATTAATTAAAGCAATCTATACCCAGCAAAAGGCAAAAGTTAGAATCAATGGAGAGCTGATGAAAGAAATACAAATACAGAAAGGTACAAGACAGGGGTGCCTGCTCTCTCCATTACTATTCATTCTTACTCTAGAAATATTAACTGAGCAAATTAGAGATAAAAAGGAAATAAAAAGACTGAAAGTAAGAGGTCAT